GCATGTATTGCACGTAGGCCGGGCAGACAAAGAGTGATAGTGTATCTAATCTGTCTGTCTGTCTCCCTGTCTGTCTGCCCGGCTGTGCGTACGAGTCTATTGATCGCTCCATTCGCTGTTGCCGGCCTCTTTCGCCTGTGCACCCGTTCGTGCCATTACATGAGGGTGTGGGAGGGGGGGAGTGGGTCTCTTGTCTTTGTTCGTCCGTGTCTGTCTGTCTCTCTCTCTATCTCGCTGTCTGTGTGCGTCCTGTTTGTTTTTTGTTTGTTTGTTAATTTGTTTGTTTGGATGGATGGATGGATGGAGTGGAGTGTATCGATATTGGTTACTCGAGTGTATGGATGAGTGGCTGCCCAAACCCTACACCCTAAGTCGTTTTTGTCGGTCATTTCGGTGCATGTCGGTGTGCGCCGAGGCGAGGCAGGCAGACAGACAGACTGTATCAACTACATTCTTCTCACACACTACTTGTAGCGGTGCGGCTGTGATGGCCTGAGACCCCGTGATAAGCCAACAGCACACCACATACAGTGCGTGTCTGTCTGATCCGATCTGGGTGTCTCTAGATACATCGATGTGTCCATCCGAGCATCTGTAGCCAGTCAGGGTGTCTAGTGGTAGAATTTGGGTGTGTTCGAGCCCCAGCCGCGGGCTCGGCTGAGGATCGCATGGGCTCGTGTGGCCAGCCAGGGTTGCCAAGCCTGGCACGTCGGCCTGTGTGTGTCCGTATGGGTGTTGTGTGCATGATCACACACGGTGCATGGATCCATGCAAGGACCAATCATCATGGCCTTCAGACACACACGTATATGGACACAAGTCTGCCGTCAACACCATGTATCCCATCTGTCAGTAGTCGCAACACGCGCACCACCATCGATGACGAATTTTAACCATCAGCAACTGAAATGGGGGGTTGAGTGAACGAGATGGCCATGGCCCTCACCAGGCATATTCTGTGTCCCTCACTCACCCACCATCAATCAGGACCCTCTCTTCACTCACTCCCCACTGGGCATCCCTAGGTGAGTGAGCTCCTATCCATCCATCCACGCCACGCCAATTACAAACACGTGAGATAGTACGTGAGCTATCTTACAAAAGGTGTGGCTGGTGAATGGATGGGGTGAGGGAGAGAGGGCCCCAGTCAATCGCAGCAGCATGTTTTGATGGTGCTTTCGGTGGCTGGGCCACTTGCGACCCTCGTATGAGCATGAGATAACCAATGGCATGACAACGGACAAACAGGTGAACAGGCAACCAGACAGACACTCCCTCCTCTCTCCCTCTCTCTCTCTCTCTCTCTCAGAAAAGGCCACAGACAAGACACCACAGCAGCACAAGAGCACAGCGCTCCCAACCAACAGGCCGACTCGGTCAACTTCCCTCCATCGTAGACAGAGTGAAAGTCCACCACCCCACAAACACGTGTTACTCGACTCATCTCACACACTCCAATCGAGTGTGTAAGTCAGCCAGCCAGCCAGCCATCCGGTCAGGAAGAGCATAGTAGATCGAGTCTCACACACACGTGGATGTACGCAGCTTTGTATGTACAACACATTTGCATATGTATGTATATGTCATGCGAACTCAGAAGTATGTCTCAACCAGGTATCTATCGGCTGTAGTCCATGGCAGTCAAATCTACCCGTGTGTTGCGACATGCTCAAAAAGTTGGCGGTTCATCCAGACAGAACCGCTCAGTTTGCTGTGTCACCCCCCGGCACACACGCCCACATTGCCCCTGCCTGCGCGTCTCGTGTCATGTTCTGGCGTCCACCCACCCATCCTCTCACCCACCCCTGTGTGGTGTGTAAGTATGCATGTATGCATGTATGTATGTATGTTCATCCCTGCATGCACCGACCCACCACTCAGCAGCCAAACCGCCCTCCCTGGCGACGGTCTCCGAGAAAGAAAGCTCCGTGCCGCCACACCAAATACCAACAGACAAACGACGCCTCTCAGCACGGTGTGTGGCAGCGCGTGACGCCACCCTGCCACAGGTGGAGGGCACCGACAGCTGGGCCATCCATCATTCGATCGCATATACGTCCTATCCATCCATCCATCCACGCCACGCCACGCCACGCCACGCCACGCACGGCCAGCCGGTCAGTCAATTTAGCACGGCACGCACATGCATACGCCTCTCTGGTGTGGTGTGATGTGTCCTGTGTGTGGGGAAAGCACGTGAGAGAGTACGTGAGCTATCTTACAAAAGGTGTTGGTGGTGAATGGATGGGGTGAGGGAGAGAGGGCCCCAGTCAATCGCAGCAGCATGTTTTGATGGTGCTTTCGGTGGCTGGGCCACTTGCGACCCTCGTATGAGCATGAGATAACCAATGGCATGACAACGGACAAACAGGTGAACAGGCAAGCAGACAGACACTCCTTCCTCTCTCCCTCTCTCTCTCTCTCTCTCTCAGAAAAGGCCACAGACAAGACACCACAGCAGCACAAGAGCACAGCGCTCCCAACCAACAGGCCGACTCGGTCAACTTCCCTCCATCGTAGACAGAGTGAAAGTCCACCAAGACCCCCCACACATACGAACATCCATCAACACATGTAGGGAAAGGCAGGGAAAGAGACAGCCAGGAGGGCCGCTGACATGACAGACAGATAGGTGAGATGAGGTGAGGTCAGTCGGCTGCGGGCGGTTGAGTGAACGAGATGGCCATCGATTGGGGCCTCCTCTCCTCCACTCCCCCAGCCAAGAGAAGCGAGCGACGAAGTCGGCTTAAAGGCAGGCACACACACACACAACATGCACCACCGTACGACGCACCAACACACCCACAAAACATGCACACAGGTCGATGGAGAAGTTCACGACCCATCCCCACCCACAACTACCCCAATCGATTTCGGTGCTGCTATGCGGCTGCTCTAATGAGAGCCGTGTTTGTGTGGGTATGGGGGAGGGATGGGTAGTGCCTGTCTGCCAGTATGTACGTACGCTATTTCGTGCGGTGTGTGTATTGTGTGCGGGGGTCTCTCTGGTGGGGTGGCTGTGCTCTGCCTTTCCTTCCCGTCCGGCCCTCTGCCCCCTTGTATAATTCAGCCTGAAAACAGCCAGCCAGACAGACAGACAGACAGAGAGACGGACAGACATGTATGTATGTATGTAGGTCGGGCCCTCCTTCCTGGCAGGCAGAGAGACAGGCAAGATCGCTACAAGCTTGCAAAAGTAGCACGGCACGGAGAGAGAGAAAGTACACACACATGACACGTACACACATGCAACACACGGACAAAAGGGTGGGGGTATTTATGTCTGTATGTATATATGTACGCATCCACCCATCAATCAATCACGGCAGCCAGCCAGCCGGCCGGTCGTCACTTTTTAGTGGACGAGGCGGGCGGGCGGGCGAGCGGGTGCGGTGTATGTATGTATGTATGTGTGGGCGAGCACCTCAAAAGATATATTAGGCGTCTCAAGTCAGTCGCAACGGATTGGCTATCATTATGTATGAATTGCATCACCACACCGCCCACAAAAGACACAATCAATACATACGAGGCCCCGCCTGACCTCACTCACCTCCCCAGCTATCAGACACACATCCACTCATGCATGCATGCATCCTTTCGACAACTGTCTTGTCCGAGGGAGGCATCACACACACACAGAGACACACACATGCAAACATGCACACATGCAGGGAGACAACGGACGGGGCCTCTCTCAGCAGCCAGGCACATGAACCTGAACCAACCAACCAACCGCAGACCATCAGCAGCCCGGGCCCACAGAGAAGGCCAGCGACCAGTACCTGCTGCTAGGCATCGTCCACCATCACATCAAGAGCTATGCACATGCATCATACATACTGACACACACGAAGTGGCACCGAGAGAGACACATGGGCCAGAAACAGAGAGAGAAGTGCGTGCACACATGTTGACCACATGTATACACGCACACACCCACACACACCCGCACACACCCACACACAGGTGTACGTACGCAGAGAGGTAAAAAAGGGGTGCACGAAAGCTTTAAAGAAAGACCGACCAGAGCCATCCCTGTGTGTCTGCAGCCACACGAACGGTGGCGGGGTATCACACACACATCCGCGGTCCAGCCCGGTCAGCACCTCTATCAAACAGGTAGGCCTTCAGCACCAACCAAACCCACACCATAATGGACAGGCAAGCCATGAGGGGGCCGCATGAGAACGGTTGAAGTGAGAATGTCTTGTGAACAAACAAACAAACAAACAAACAAACAAGGACTGAGGTAAAGAAAACAAACAGAAGGCAGGAAGGACGATCACAGACACATGCACGGAAAAACACCCCGAAAAGACAGGCAAACATGAGACACGAGGCAGACAAACAAGAGACATGAGAACGAAAGAGACACAACCAAGAAAACAAAGCAGAACAAGGGTGGTTGGGCACCGGCAGCATGCTATGCATGCAAACCATCGCCCTCCATCCAGGGGGGCCCCCCCCTCCCGAACAAATCCAGGGAACTGCCGGCATGACCGCCCTGGTCCCCGGCACAGGAGTTGCGGGGCCTCAAAAGAGGCTCCCAATCCTGTGTCGGTGCGCAACTAAATCGAGCGTCCCCTATCGGGGGGCTGCTCACACACACACACACACACACACACACATCTGGCCGGAGCAAAACGCCCTCTGTCTCATCTGGATCAAGAATGATGTCATAAAACTCCAAATCTACCCCATACACACAGGCGCAGAGAGAGAGAGACAGATGACAAGTATGTGAGACACGGATCTATATGAGTGTGTGTGTGTGTGTGTGTGTGAGCATGCGTACCTTTTCTCTGGTAGCGAGTGGGCGCTGTCATGCAAACTCAGAAGTATGTCTTAACCAGGTGTCGGCTGTAGAGCATGGAAAGCTCGAGGGTGTCGAAGTTGCACAGCCCGCCTGTGAAGTAGGTCTTCCTGTTGCCCTGCAGCGCCTCCAGCCGTTGGTAGAAGCCCGCCCGCATCTCTTCGCCACTCACGTGGGGAAACTGCATGCAGGAAGGATACAAAGTGTGAACAGATGATGGGGTCCCTCTCCCTTTGAATGAATACTCACGTAGGTCCAAAAGTCGACTTCGGTCAAGTTGGCCTTGTACTCACTCGCATCGCCGTCGAAGAACATGTCCGTCACGATCTGCACGCTGTCCTGCTTAAGCGTCTCGTTCCAAAGTCCCTGCTGTCGATCATAACTCTGGTAGATCAGAAGGCCGGCTCCTGCCTGCGAACCGTAAGGTGCGGCTATCACCGCCGGCTGGCCTTTACCGACGACTGATCGATAAGCGTGAGGCTCGACCGACGTATCGAGATTGCCATATAGCCTGGAGCTCTTGGTATTGGGCATTTTCTCGTACGAGAAGTCCAGAAGCGTGGAGGCGTATGGCGCGATGAAAACTCTCCCGAACACATCGCTCTCCTCCTCGTCCAAGTCCAAAAACTGCATGTCCGCCGTGATCTGAGGAAACGCTACGATGATCCGATCGCAGGTTCTTTCAGTGCCGTCCGACAGCTGGACCAGTGACGGCTGATCGGGCTCTCGCACAGTGTTGACGATCTCCGCACTGAGCAAGACCTCTAGCTTTCCCTTGGCAGACAGCGTGTCCACCATGGCCTCCAGAAGCGCTGTACAGCCTCCGACTATTCTTTGAATGGTGCCCAATACACCCTCCACCAGCAGAGGTGGCGTGAAGGCCTTGAAGAAATACGCCATCGGAGTGAAATCGGCAGAAAGGTAGCCGGACGCTTCCAGCGGGAATTGGGCTCTCTGCATGAACTCGATGTGCTTCGGACCGAGGCCGTACTCTGTGAAGCGGTCTGCAATGAACTTGTTGGCCGGGTCGGCAAGCTCTGGGTAGCGGTCGAAGTCGATGGATGAAAGAGTCGGCTCATCGCCGAGAGGTCGCTTTGGATCCGGCTCGCCGGTCTTCTCGTCAATGGCGACGTAAGACTTCCATATGGCCGTATACGCCGTAGCGGCGGTGAGGGCCACCGTGATCTCCTCGATGTCCTCGATGCTGTTGAGTTCGAGGGGGCTGAAGCTGGCGATGGTGGGCCATGAGGGTGGAGCAGGGGTGAACAGCGGTTTGGCGTTGAAGTCGACGTAGAAGTCTTGCGGCACACCCAACGCGAACAGTTCGAATTTCTGACCGTAGATGTCGGCGAGCTCGCGGATCTCTTCGTAGTCCCGTATGATGACAATTTGACCGAGGGGGTAGGTGCGGTTGACGGGCTTTCCGTTCGCGTTGTCCACTCGCTCGATGTCCCTGCATTTGCCGCCGATTCTGTCGAGCTTTTCCAGCATCAGGATGTTGGAGTAGCCCTTTTGCACGAGGTGGTGAGCCGCGCCCACGCCTGAGGGGCCGGCGCCGATAATACAGACCTCATGGTCACTGACACCTGAGAAAGCACAAGGCTCAACAAGGATGTTGTCAAGAGAGAACACCGCGTGGCTTACCGTTCTGATCGGCAGTGGGGAGGAAGTCGATTGCGGCGAAGGCAGCCGATGCAAGGAGGAAGAGGGCCACACACAGCCGCGGCATCGTCACTGAACTGGGAAATATATACGCCAGAAATCACACCAGATTTACATGTGGCTGTACGGTACAACGGTCGTTACGCCCGGTTCTGTTCGACCCTCACTGTGAAGCTCGGCTGCCAACTCATCCATCATCAGCCTTTTCTTGGAACATCACGGCATACCGATAGTCGGCCTCCTCGGCTTCCCGCTTGGCAATCAGGGCGGCGTTGTCATCTTCGGCAGATGATGCGGCAGCCGGCGGCTCTGCTTGCAGAGAGAGAGACGACGCGGGGGAAGAAGAGAAAGCTCGAGAACAGGGAGGGCGAGTGGCGGGTGGGGTAGCTGTGGGCACTGTACGCCTAGCAGCGGCATCGCATATCCGCCGAAAAGAACATGTCCATGGGTGGTCGCCCTATGCATGAATCATGAGCGAGAGTGTGCATAGCTCAGAAGCAGCTCAGTGGCTCGTTCACATACGCCACTCCCTGACCCTTTCTAGCAGGTTTCACTGTGCGCCATCGATGGATGTGTCGTCCACCGTGGTTGAGTCGAACTGACTGAGTGGATGGTGTTTGCCGGCTTGGGTATGTATGTCTTGATGGCTTCGGTACGTACGTACCTACTGAATACGTACGTTACTGAATGAGTGACTCTGCGAACATCATCAAGAGCATCACGCTGTTGTTGGTTGTATGTTTTACGTATGTATGTCACCCAATGAAGCTAACGAAAAATAGTGCAGAGAAAGAAGACCGTCACCCACCCACCCACCCCCTCCCACGCACTCTCCGCTTAGCCTGCTGCCTGCATGCAGGGGCATGCACAGCATCCCATCACGCACCCACAGCACCCACCCAAGGCAGCCATGCGCCCACAGCTCAAAGTCCTGAGCCACCCAGTGAGTGGCGCCCACTCATCCACCCACCCACCCAACTGTCCCTGGAGAGCAGTCAGCCAAAAATCATGCCTGCCTCCCCATTCATCACCAAATGCGTCGGTAGACCATGTCATGGCAATCCTTGCCTGCAATCAACAAGACGCACACAAACAGACAGACGTACACGTAGGCAGCACCAAGGGGCGGACACACGCACATACACAGAGGGTGTGGTGTGCTGTTTGTCTTACCACTCAGCTCAATGTCGGCACCCCAGCTTTTTGGGAAGGACTCGTCATCGTCAGGTGCCTCTGGGCGTTCGCACAGCTTGTCGAGCGGGAGGTTGAGTACCTATGCAAAGACACATGGACACAGCAAGTCGGTGGGTGAGAACGCATTAGCATCTCCTGTCGTCCCTGCCTGCCTGCCTGCCAGCCTGGGCGTCTTACTTACCTTCCACGTGTGCCACCCGCCATTCACGTACCTGCAGGCATCCATCCATTCCAACATCAACCAGAGAGGGAAGGAAGGTTGCACGGATCGAAACTACTTAGGGTGAGTCAGTGCGGTGGGTCTGTCTGTCTGCTTACGATGCGTTGTATCCCAGCTGTCGGAGGATCCTGCAAGCCACGTAGGCACGCTGGCCCGCCCGACACACAGTCTGAATCGTGCATGGATGGACGACAAACACAGCCGACAGAGAGGAACGAATGAGTTGAGCGAGGGCTGTCTCGCCCCCTGTGTGTGTGTGTGTGTGGGTGTGTTGTGTACGTGTATGGGTGTGCCCTTGGGCAGCTCATCGATTTTGGCTCTGAGGAAGTCGAGTGGCACCCTTATGGAGTGCTCAATCTTCTCGTGCGTCTTGTCGATCTCCTTGTCGCTGCATACACGGACATACCGCCAACCAACCGATACACGCACGCGCACACCGACAATGATTCATTCTTTCTTGCTTGCTGCCTTGTGGATGTCTTCACACCTTCTAACGTCGAGGATGATACCCTCCTTGAGCGTCTCTGAAGACACAACATCGTCAGAGCCCAGATGGCTGATGGTGTGTGAGGGAGTGGTTTGGGGTCACTCACATCAGGCGCCCCACCCCACCTGGCGTTGACTGAGGCGCGTAGTCGCCCTCGAGGAAGTTCTGTGCAATCATCCCTATGTGGTTGATGGGGTCGCGGGCAGCGCCATATTGTGGGGCATAGCACAGTTCGGCCTCAGCCAGGTCGTCCACTGTGGCGCCCATCTGGATGTACGTCGACAGCACGTCGATGCGCTTCTCCACTCCACTCACACCACACGCCTGCAGCAGCCAACCAGCAATCCCACAGACGTCCGGCCATATGCAGATCCCGCACCTCTCTACCCATCTGCATGCCTCGCTCCCTCCCTCCCTCCCTCCCTCCCCCCCTCCCTCACCTGTGCGCCGAGCACTTTGCGTGTCTTGGTGTCGAAGACCAGTTTGATGTGGACGCTCTTGGCACCCGGGTAGTAGCTGACGTGTCAGTAAGTCATCAAGCAGCGCCCCCCTCACCAGCAGTCAGTGAATGAATGGATCGTGTGTCTGTTCCTACCCGACGTGATTGAGTGGGTGGGCATAAACACAGCCGTAGGACCTGCCCGCACCATCCATCC